TAAGGGCACCACATGATTCTAATATCTAATAAAAGCGATAAGCCAAAGAGGCTAACCTTGACTATAAAAAAAAAAAAAATTAGTGATTTACCAATCAACCAGAAAATACTCATAGTATAACATAACACAGTTTACATTAAAATATAAACTGCTTCTATCTAAAACTTTTTTTATACTAAATTTTTATACTAAATTAATCACCTTTGAGTTTCTAATTGAAGTTGTAGAGCTCGTCAAGACGAATCTATTGGTGGTTAAATCATCAAAATCAGCCTGGTGGATCGCGAGATATCTTCGAAAAACGTTTCGCCGATTATATAAACTTCACTTATTGTTGAAAGAGAAGTTTATAAATAGCCAAAACCAACCCGACCCGACCGACCCGTTATAAAGTTTTTTATCGGGCTAGGACCGGGTCGGTTTATTTAAATCCGACCCGGCCCGGCCGTACCCTACCAAAGGGTCAGGCCCGCGAACTAATGCGATTCTTAATTCTTGTATAACAATACGAAACGTAGTAATTTCTTAATTCGCCACCAAGTTATGATTCACGAGTCACATGCATTGTGCTGCCTATGTATAAATTTAATCCTATCTTCTACATATTCACACAAATGGAATTTTACGAATCTTTATCCACCGATTTTAACCAGCTTTTGGAGGAAAGTGATGACTATGACATGATAATTTATGTTGGCAAAGAGCCGAATGTAAAAAAATTCTATGCACATACAGTGATTTTACGTGCAAGGTCTACGTACTTTCGAAGAGCATTATCTAGGGATTGGGCAAAAAAGGAAAATGGCTCAATCGTCTTTCAGAAACCAAATATCACAAAAGATGTATTTTTGTTTATTCTTAAGTATGCAGCATCATAATAGCTACGAAATATTGCGTGCTTAGTTTTTTAACAAGTTTGATTTGTATAAAATAGGTATATATATACCGGTGTCGCCGATTTGCACAAACAAGACGGTGAAATTATTCTTAATATCTTAACTGCTTCTGATGAACTAAATCTTCATGAATTGATTGCTTATGCACAGGATCATCTTATTCAAGAAAAATCTGATTGGCTACAAAAGAATGTTATTCATGTATTGCACACTGTTGCTAGTCTTGAAGCCTGCAAAGATCTTCAAGATTTTTGCTTGGGAATGATTTGCCAAGATCCTTATTGGTTATTAGAATCTGACAATTTCTGTTCTTTAGAAGAAAACGTTCTTGTTCCTCTCTTGAAACGTGATGATCTTTTAATGGAGGAAATTGAGATTTGGAACAGGTTAATTGAATGGGGAATTGCACAGAACTCTTCACTTGATGGAAGTATTTCAAATTGGTCTCAATCTGATTTTGAGGTTTTGAAATGTACACTTGAATCATGCATTCCTTTAATAAGATATTTTCACATCGATTCTGCTGATTATTATGATAAAGTGAGGCCATTTGAACATATTTTACCTCTCAAATTACGTGAGGATATATTGCAATATTATCTTAAAAAAGGAAATATTGGTCAGCTTGATTCTGTTATATTGCCTCCAAGAATTCCCGGAATAGAATCAAACATAATTAAATTTAGACATATAGCTCTTATTGCAAAATGGATTGATCGAAAAGAGGGTAATCAACCAAGTGTGGAAAAATCTAAATATAATTTTATCTTGCTCCTACGTGGTACCAGGGATGGTTTTACCGCGCAAGAATTTCATAAGCTATGCGATAATCAAGGACCTACTGTTGTCATTATTAAAGTTAAGGAATCTGGTGAAATAATTGGCGGTTATAACCCACTAGGCTGGCGAAGATTCAACACACACACAACTGAAGGTGGTTGGATGTCTGCCGCCGCTCCACCTTGGTCTCCGCATCGTCGAAGACCTTCATTAAACATCACTCGATCTACATATGATGTTGGTCCTTACCAAAGTAGCCATGATAGTTTTCTTTTTTCTCTTGGTGATGGAAGAAATCTTGAGAATGCTAAACTTAGTCGTATCTCTCCAGAAAATGCTTCTTTTGCTATATTTTCTTCTCAATATCATGGTCCTTGTTTTGGGCAAACCGATTTGAGAATGAATGATAACTTTAATTCTCCCTCAAAGTGCACATGCCAACGCTACGACTATGAAACTGAAATTTGCGAACTTCAAAATTTTTCTGTTGAAGAATATGAAGTTTTTCAGGTAGTTGACAAAAATGCATCAACGTCTTCACAATCAACATCTGATCAGGCATATCCAGCTCCAACTATGCATCCTCCAAGGCCAGAGTTTACAAATTATCCAACGTCTTGGTAAGAATGTTCGAACGTTTCAAGCTTTTTTTTTTTTACTTGTCATTTAACAATTAATTCCGTCGTTATTTGATTCGTTATTTGATTTTAGGGGGGAATTTATGCATTTTTAGAAACTGCTACGATAATTTTTGACTGTAGATACTCGATCTTTTAGTTGTAAACTTAATAAACATTGACGGTATTTGAATATAGAATGATTAGATTTGTAAAAATTTTGCTGAATTTAACTCGACTGACTTGACAATATATCTTTATTATAAAATGCCGTATTGATGTTTATTTATAATTATACATACAATACATATTAAAAAACATTTATGTTAAAACACATTTTGACATTTATTAGGCTATACAAAATTTTTCATAGCCAACAGGTCAAATTGAAAATTTTTTAATAACCGGTGGATTTTTTTTTAAAAAAAAAATTGGTTATAAAAAAAAAACTTGCTGGCAGAGTATTTAATTTGTTTGATTTCTATTGGCCACCCCATATATATAGACATTTTGGTATTATGTATGCAAAAGATTTGGTATTATATATACAAATTTTAAGGTCTTTTAACTTATACAGTCGTCCTCTTCTATAATTACACGGACACATGCCTACCTGGTGATAGTATAGAAGTGTGACTATATAAAAGTACGTACCTTTTCAGATCCATGTCATATAAAATTTTATAAATATATGTGATTATAAAGAGGTAATTTATAAAGCGATTTGCTATTTCCACCAGAACCAGGGTTAGGGTCAGTGGTTAGATTTTATAATCCCCCGATCACTATATCAAGATCACGGGAGGATTACCCTGACCGTATGTGAATAAGCGGAAACTTCGTTTCCGCTAATTCCCAACGGATCAGAATATTATTATTACTAATACAGTCAGACCTCGCTGTTGGGACCAGCTCTAAAGCATGCATTTAAGGTGCAAGAAAGTTGGGCTGCAATTAGAGAATAACTAATAATATTGCTGTATTATTATAATCACGTGATGGTTTATTAGGGAGGTGAAATTCGCCGGATATGTTGTTTCCCAAAAACGGCTTTTGATAGTATACTAACACTAAGTATTCAGCACCTTAAAAACCTTAACCTTTACCTTAATTTAAACCTTAGACTCTAAAAGTTTAATTTTAGTTTTAAAATTTGTGGTGAAATGCTAAATAAATTCTAATATATAATTTACAGTATTTTTACTAAGTAAATATTACTTGGGCTTCTAATAAAAGCTGTAGAGAAGTTCTTTACGATTCTAATGATAGTATTTCTCAAAGGGTAGTTTTAGGCATCTCCCGGGAGATGCGTATCTCCCACGAATTACCCAATGATGAGTCAGAATTTAGTCAG